ACTTCTTTGGCAACATATCAGTGTCAGCCTTGGCAGGATAAACTCCCCAAGCCTATCCAACGGATAAGAACATTCTAAACTAACACGAGTTTCATAAGTGTCCAGTTTTAGGGGTAAATTCACAGAAACATACTAATGTCAACATGAAATAATAATGTACTCTTATTCATTTACAATAAATGTATTTGTACATCAATCTGATTGGAGATAAGGGCATACACTGCCTAACAAAGACAAGGTTGTTGATGTCGATGACCTTCGTGTTTTCAAGGAAGTGGTGATCGGGAAGTTAGGCGTGGATTTGGGCAGGAGGGGGAGGCTAAGAAAGATTTAATTGAGACTGAATCCATGGCTTCCAAAGAAGTGTCTGAGTCAATCTTTATTCTCTCGGGTGATTTCTTATCACATTCCTTTGTATTTCTTTTTATTTTAATGAATTTTATCTTTACTTTTCAAAAAAAAAAAAATAAATAAAGATGTTTGTGAATACTGCAAGAAGCCTAAACATACTAAAGACCCGTTGGAACTTGGAAGCTGCATCTAGAGCTTACACTTACTAGATTTAAGAATGCAAACAGTGTTAAAAGGAATGAGAATGACAAAGGTGGAAATGCAAATGTAGCCACCTCCTTATAGAGTGAACAGGGGCATAGTGGTGAGAAGTCAATGGGAGAGAAACTAGCAGCCGCCAGGGTTGAGTATAAGAAGTCTGGTCAAATAATTAGTCACCTGGAGTCTACTACTACAGCACCTACTTCATCAAAGATAGTTCCCTCTTCATCCACATATGCCCATTCAGGTATTTGTGCTGCTACAAATCATGCTTCTATCTCTGTCAAGGGTAACATCAAAGCTTCAAAAATCATCACCTTATCCTCAGTCCTTCATGTTCCTAAGTTAAACACTAATTTGCTTTCAGTTAGTAATTTGACAAAATCTTTGAATTGCAATGTGACATTTTTCCCTTCTTACTATGATTTTTAGGACATGGACTCCCAAAAGGTGATTGGGAGTGGCCATGAGGTGAATGGGATATACCTACTAAACATGCCTGGACAAAGTCAAGTATCACCTCCGATAGCAGCTTTTGATTCAAATGTGTCAAAGTCAGTCAGTCATACTATGTTATGTCAATATCATTTGGGACATTTCTTTTTCTTTGTTGAGTCTTTTGTTTCCATCTTTGTTTAAAGAAACTAAGTTGTCAAGTCTACATTGTGATTCATGCAAGTTGCCAAAGCATTGTAGAAACTCTTATTTTGCAAATAATAAAAGATCTATAGTTCCTTTTCATATTTGTTCACTCTGATGTGTGGGGGTCATACCATTTATCTTGTATAGGTGGTTATAAATATTTTATTTTATTTACTGATGATTTTTCTCATTACACTTGGCTTTATCTTATGTGTTCCCATGCTAAAGTACCCAAATTTGTAAAACAGGTTCATGAACTTGTGCTTACCCAATTTGATACCCGCATCAAGATATTCCAATCAAATAATGCTAAGGAATATTTTAAGAGTGATCTTGTTTTATACTTTGAGAAGTTTGGGGTTATACATCAAAGTTCTCATCCTTGTACTCTAAAACAGAATGGGATAGTAGAGAGATAAAACCAACATACTATTGAAGTAGCCAGGAGCATCCTTTTTGCCTCCATGTTCCAGTGAGATTTTTGGGTGATGCAGTGATGACAACTACCTACCTTATTAACTACATGCCTTCTCGAGTCTTGGGGTTCAAATCTCCCTTTGTTGTATTGTTTCTTATTCCCTTGCGTGTCTTTGGGTGCATGTGCTACGTTCATATCCCTAGCTCTTAGAGACATAAGTTTGAACCCAAGACATGGAAGTGCATTTTCTTAGGGTATGCCTCTACACAAAAGGGCTATTGTTGTTATGGTCCCACTAGTAGAACTCATTTTGTCTCCATGGATGTTACCTTTGCAGAGTCACTTCCATTTTATGGTCATTCGTCTGAGGGGGAGCATTCCATTGAACTGTTTTCTTAATCACTGCCTCTACCATCTCCTATTGATCCTAAGGTTGAGTCTACTGTGGTTCCTTCTGTTCCAATGGCAAAGCCTTTGCCTCCCAATTCTACCATTCCTGCTCCTCCTACTACTACTATTACTCTAGTTTTCATTACTCATCCTATTGTTCAGAGGTGGTATCAGAGACAAAGGCTATGGCATGATCGGGTCATTCCCTCATCTACAGTTGAGCCTTAGACACTCTTAACCCTTGAAGAGAGGAAAAGTCCACTACCTACTCCAAAGCCTCCCTTCCCAGACTTGGACCTACCTATTGTTGTGAGAAAAGGTAAAAGGAAATGTACAACACATTGTATTTCCAATCACCTGTCCCTCATGGGAAGGAACCAATAGGATGTAAGTGGGTGTTCACTTTCAAGTATCATGCTGATGGCACCATTGAGAGTATAAGGCTCGGCTAGTAGCCAAGGGTTAAAATCAGGTATATGGAGTTGATTATATGGAGAGGGAGGAGAACCAAAGACTTCATTCCCCAGCCCAACTCCATCGCACCTCAACTCAGTCGCTATACTCCTCTCCACCCCTAATTGTTCTCAGTCGCTAGTAGTCTCAGTCCCTTTTTTTTTTTTTGAAAAAACAGGGTCTCCACCCCTATACTCCTCTCCACCCCTGACTGTTCTCAGTTGATAGTCTCAAACTCTCAGTCCCTTTTTTTTTTTGAAAAAACAGGGGTCTAGGAAACTTGGTGCCAAACTTGTTTCTACACCTATTGATGCTAACCATAAACTCTCAGTTGATGATGGTGAGCTTTTGGCAAACAGTGGAATGTTCCAAAGACTTTTGGGGAAGTTTCTATACCTTTACATGTGTGATCAGTGAATTTATGCATGCCCCTAGGGACACATATAAGGCTGTTGCAAAATGAGTTGTGTGTTACTTGAAGGGAACTCCAGGAAAGGGTATCCTCATCTCTAGGCATAGACACATGAAGCTAAAGGCTTACACAGATGCCGATTAGGCAGGTAGTATTGATGATAGATCTACATCAGGTTATTGTGCCTTGGTTGCAAGGAACATTGTCTCTTGAGTAGTCAGTAGTAGCCAGGTCTTTAGCTAAGGTAGAGTATAGGGCAATGGCACATGGAGTTTTAGAGTTATTATGGCTCAGGTCACTTCTAAAGGATATGGGTATTACACATGATAAGCCATTAATGCTTTACTGTGATAATCAAGCTGCAATCAAGGTTTAAAATGTCGATGGAAATGTCGCTTACCAAAATATAGGACATATGTCGGAAATGTCAGAAATGTCAAGGGGAAATATTGTAAAAATTAGAGACATTGTGGAAATATGCAAAGATATTTTTGTAAAATGATAAAAGAAGCATTAATACATATTTCTAGACTATTATCTTATTCCCAACCATTATATAAAGCTAAGAAACTAAGATCAATAACAAATTAGTAAATAATGATTTACTGATTTATTATACATTTTGATGTTTTTACAAGGCTATCTGATACTTTCTTTTCTTATTTTTAGTTCTGATTTATTATAAATTCTAATATATTTATTTCACACTAGTAAATAGAAATACATTTATTCTGATTTTTTATATTAAATGTAGAATATGGTTTATTATAAAATTTAATAAACATTTTCTGATTTTAAAAAATACTAGCTAGTTAATATTTTATTACTTGAAAAATATTTTATGTTTTATATTATAAAGTAATTAATTTATTCTTTTGTTTTTATATTTTGTTAATTCTTTTTATAAATATTTTATTTGAAATATTAAATAGAAATATTAATGGAATAATCTATATTAATATACTATATTATATTAATATAATATACGAATATCTTATATTTTTAATGTACATTAGTCGACATTCTGTCGACATAATAGGAAAAACTGTATTTTCCTTTTAGTTATTTCGACCGACTTGGTCGACATTTACGAAATATAGGAAATGTCGACCGACATAATGTAATTTTTATATTACCATCCATTTTCATGTTGGTGAGCCTCGACATCGACATATGTCAGGCGGCATTAGCGACATTTGGCAACATTTGAAACCATGGCTGCAATCAACATAGCTCACAACCCAGCTCAGCATGACAGGACAAAACATATTGAAGTTGACTGGCAAATATAAGAGAAAGGGTAGCTTCTGGAGAAGTTTGCCTTCCTTTTATTGCCTCACAGCAACAGTTAGCAGATGTTCTAACCAAGGGTGTCCCCAAGGCAAAGTTACAACATTGTATACGTAATCTGGGCATGGTTGATATCTACGCTCAGCTTGAGGGAGAGTGTAGAGATAATGGGCTGAATGGGCCTTAATTTCTTTGTTTTTCTAGTTATGTTTATGACTGTGTTAGTAGATAGTGGGCCTTAGTTGTGGGTATGTTTTCTCTTTTTCTATTGTTTTTTATTGTTGTCTTTACTGATGGACGCCCTAGTAAGAGCACTCATGTAATTGTCCTTATTTTTTACAACAAAAGAATAAAAGAGGTCATTGGGGGCTAAAAAGAGATTTTGAACTACTCTCTCTTCTTCTTCCTTTTCTTCCATCTTCTTCCTCCATCACTTCTCTCTCTTCAATCTCCTTCTTTTCTCTTGTTTCTTTTCTTTTAATTCAGATAATTGCCATGTATCTGAAACCCCTATCCAAATTTAATTCAACCCATTTGCAGCCCTAATGCAATACCATCGAGCAGGTGGTCTAGAAAAAAAGCTAAGTCATGTATGCAATATCACTTGGGACAAGTTTATAGAATTGTGATCCAAAGAAAAGATACCAAGACAAACAACCACTAGGAAAAAGAAGAATGATAAGGGCCATTATCAGTAAAATCCAATAATGTTGAAAACTTGGTTAAATCTGAATTTTTAGTTCAAAATAAACTTATTCAGGTAAACTTACCATAGAAATAATAACAATAATAATAATAATAAACACAGCATGGTTTAACTTGACGAAAGGAAAAAGGACATACCTGAGTTTTGAATTCATTAAGCAACTTAATTTTGTCTTTAACATCTGTCAAGGCAAGAAGAGTTTCCTGTGCTTTAGCTCGATCATCCCACAAAGAACTATCAGCAGCCTTTTGTTCCAATGCCAGGAAGTCTTCTTCTAAATGATGCAAACCAGCAGAGGCCCTTATTTCTTCAACACGTTCCATGATCACCTCCACTTCCTTCCTCAGTGTATAAAAATCTGTCATCAATACAAAACGATCAAATACCATTTCTACAGAAGAGATCACTGAATTATATAAAGATTAATGTGGACAACAATAACCCATCCTAAAACACCACACAGGTAGGGATCTTTCATTATACGAAAAGAGAACTATCAATTCCCAATTTGTGAAGCCTATATTCAATAGAATCCAATTCCCATGGAATTGGTCTCATTATATGACAATAGGATTTCCTTTATCCCTGCTGTAAAAAGGAGGAATGAAAAGATAAGGTATTTAACTGTAACAATCCAAGCCCCATAAACTAAAACAGTTAAAACTTACACAACTAAAATCACTATACTAGACTTGTAATGTGATATATACAATAACTAGTTACTATAAAATGGGAAGTATTTAGGCATGTCAAATCACCAATATAACTATTCCACCAAGGAAATTGATCCAAGCAGAGAACTTGCCAGAATTTTGGAAGTCCTCCAAATGTTTGTTCTGCTCATTTTCTCCCTTTTGTCAAGCAGGTACAATAAGGTTAAGCTAGATGAAAGAGGGACTCAGAGATGCTTAGAAGGTAGAGAATAAATTCTGCCAATTTCTCAGTGCCTATATTACCACATATTAGGCATTGTAAGTAGAATATCTTTTCTTTTTTGAAAAGGTAACGTATTGTATTGATCAAACTATCCAAGATACACAATCAGCCATGTACAACGAAATGCTGTACAGTGGCAATATACAAAAAGCCAAAGACTGTAAAATTAAGAACACAAAGATCCAGCATCAAAAAAAAAAAACTAGGCTGGATCCTGTGAAAAGGTTTCTTATATGCTCAACCAAGAATATAGAAGGCCCTTTAGATTGCTTTTTATAGTATCCAAGTCAGAACATTTGTTCTCAAAGATCTTCAAGTTCCTTTCTCTCCATACCGTCCGATAAGATTCCTCAAAGCACCTTCCCTCTCCTGCTCAAATACTCTCCACTCTTCCAAAAGTGTTGAACTGATTCAGAAGACAGTAATGCATCCCAAAGCACTGTAGGGCTAGCATCCATAAACTGTAAAAGAGCTTTTAGTGAATAAAAGATGATTAGAAGATTCTGAATTCTCATTGCATAAGGAGCAAGAATCATTTAACAGCATCGTTCCTCCTATTATTAGCTGATCCTTTTTGTTAAGCATTTACCAAGAGCCACTTCCACACCAGAAAAGCCACCCTTGAAGGGATGCATGATTTTAATATTCTAGCCCAAGGAAAGTAAGCTGATTGCTGCCCACCCAACCTACTTTCTTCCATTTTCAAACCCTCTCATCAACCTCCACTGTGTTTGGCTTGATTGTTCACAACAAACGTTACAAACCAAGCATTTCATCCAAAGAGTTTATTTCCCAGTCATTCAGGTTTCTTCTGAATGCAGGTCTCCAAACCACTTCATTATTTACCTGGTTGAAACAATCTCCAACTTTAGCATTTCTATTTTGTGATATTTAAAAAAGTGCAGGGAATTTCTCTTCTAAAGAAGACTCTCCGCACCACCTGTCAGATCAGAATTTGACCCTTCTACCATTTCCAATTTTATATTTGATCCCTTTCAATAAGTCAAGAAGCACTTTCTGAATGACTCCCCAAACTGCATACCCCATTGGGGTAAAGGAAGGTCACGTGTCTCATCCATCATTGCTAATACCATATTTGATTAAAATTGTTTTTCTCCATAAGTTTCCTTTTCCTGAATCCCTGATTGAATCTCCAGAGCCATTTCCCAAGAAGTGCTTGTTGGTTCTCTATTTTTCTAACTCCCATCACACCATAATTTCTTGCTATAGAGATAATGGATCGAATGGGCCTTAATTTCTTTATTTTTCTTTAAGTTATGTTTATGACTTGTGTTAGTAGGTAGTGGGCCTTAGTTTTTTTTTTCTATCAGAAAAAAATGAGAATTTTATTCAATTAAGGAATTAATACAGAGTTACAGCAGAAAGAACACAGACATTTCAACAGAACAATTTACAATAAAGCCCAAAAAAGCTGTTGCCTTTGACCTCCCTGTTCTCCTAACCCATGTAAACGAGGCATTGAGTTCCCTTTCTATGCTTACTATCTCCCTTAACAGATGTCTGTAGTACCAAGGAACATTACTGCTTGAATTGGTCCAAGATATCACTGTTTTTGAGTCCCCTTCTATCTCCAAGTTCTTAAAACTGGATTGTTTGGCGATCTTTAGCCCTAGAAGTAGAGCTAACAGTTCAGCTTTTAAAGAGTCACCTTCCCCTAAAGGTCCTGAGTACATAGCCAACACTTTGTTTGAGGAGTCTTTGATCATACCACCAATGCCTGCCATACCCGGATTTCCTATAGAGCCATCAAAGTTCAGCTTTAACTTATTGGGGCCTGGCGGCTTCCACTCCATCACTTTTCTTTACATCCTCTCTTCAGTGTGAGCCACTTCATTCCACACACTTACAATATCCGTAATTGAGATATTTTGGAAGAGCTGGTGTGATTTTACCCAGTGTGCAACTCTTATCTTTATGGCCTCTTTTGGCCTATGCTTTTCATTGAATATTCTTTGCATTTCTTTCCTCCCATATTGTCCACACCACTGCTGCCCTTGCCGATTTCCACATCATCCTCTCTCTTTTTGTTGGCTACCTTAGAAAGTTTGGACCAAAGAGGCTTATTACATCCTGGGAAGCACTCCACCTGCAACCAAAGAGAGAGCAAAGAGATTCCCATAAAAACAGTACAAAAAAGCAATGGATCAATAAACGGGGTAGGGATTCACCATCTGCAAAGCAAAGAGAGCACATATGAGGGGAGAGGCATTTATTTGGCCTCTTTTTTTGAAGCATGTCACAAGTATTTACCTTCCCTAGAAACACCTCCCAACACAGAGCTTGAATTTTTGGTGGAATGGGCTTGCTCCAAATCTCTTTCACTAGGAAATTATCACCCCCAACAGAAATTTGAACAAGGGTATCAAAGAAAGAAGCACAAGTAAAGGTGTCATCAGAAGAAGCAAACCATAATCTAGTGTCCTCCAAGAATTGAACGAAGAAAACTGACTTGAGAGCATCAAGCAAGCATATAAGAGACTCACACTCATTGTCCCTCAAACCTCTTTTGAAACCAAAATCCCAACTCAATCCAGAGTGAGAAAAAGTGACAAAGTTAGAGACTGAATATAGATCAGTCACAACCCACATCAAATCTAATGAGATTAAGAAAGATAAGATATACCTCTAGTATTGCTTTCCATGGAAAGCTCGAGGAAGATGTGGGGGCTAACTTTGCATCCCAGCCATTGTTCATCAGCCTGTGAATAATTTCTATCATCTTATGCCATAGCCTTCTCTTTCCAATGGGAACCTCCAAAGCCATTTTCCTAACAGGGAAATATTCTTGCGAACTAAGTTCCCTAGTCCTAGGCCTCCCTTTTCCTTTGTTTTGCAGGCTTGTTCCCACTTTACTAGATGATCCCTCTTTTCCTCCCCAGGTTCCCAAAGAAAATCCCTCATAAGTTTTTTTAAATATCCTGCCACTCTAGCTAGGATTCTAAAAGTTGAAAGGAAATAGACTAGTAGGTTTGCTAGAGTTGCTCTAGTCAGGGTTATTCTCCACCTATGGATAAATAATTCCTCTCCAAAGTGACAACTTCCTTCTAAACCTCTCCACCACTGGCTTCCAGAAGTCTTCAGATCTTGGATTCCCTCCCAACAGTAACCCTAAGTATTCCGGTGGCCATTCTTTTACTTCACACCCCAGAATCTCCGCTAGTTCTCTCAAACTTTCATCTTCCAAGTTAATCCTTGCTATACAACTTGCCCCCCAACCTTCAATCTGGAGAGTGATTCAAAGGAAGTGAAGGGCTCACGTAGATTTCTTATGCTCTCCTGGTTTCCTCCCTCACGAAATAGAATGATGTCATTTTCAAACTATAAATGTGTGATTGCCACCTCAAGTCTTCCTACTCTCCATCCTCTAAAAAGATTTCTCTGATCAGCCTCCATAATCATCCTACTTAGGACATCAGCAATTAAAGTGAACAGAAAAGGGTGAAAGGGGATCCCCTTGTCTCAATCCTCTTTTTGCTGGAAAGTAGTCTCTAGCCACACCATTGATCATGACTGAATACTGCACTAAACTAAGGCATCCCTTCATCCACATCCTCCCCCACTCCCCTAGCCCAATTCTCCCCATAATTTCTAGAAGAAAAGACTAGTCCACAAAGTCATAAGCCTTCTCTAAATCCAACTTTCATACCACACCCCTCCCTCTCCTCCTCCTCTTCTCTGATATATGTTCATTTGCTACTAACACCTTGTCAATAATCTGTCTTCCTTCAACAAAGGCACCATGCTGTTGTGAGATCACCAAAGGTAGTACCTTTATAAGTCTCCCAGCAAGAACCTTTGCTATAATCTTAAAGAGGCTCCCCACTAAGCTTATTGGTCTGAAATCCTTTGGAGCTTTTGCTTCCTTCTTTTTGGGGATGAGAGTAATGAAAGTTGAATTTATACCTTGAGAGATTTCCACTTCTGTGTAAAACTCGTTGAAAACTTCCATCAAATCTCTTTTGGTAAGGTCCCAACACTTCTGATAAAACACTAAAGAGAAACCATCTAGACCAGGAGCTTTAGACCTTTCCATTGAGAATACTGCTTCTCTTATTTCTTCTAGAGAAAACTCCCTTTCTAAGGCTGCAACCATATCTTCAGGCACTCGAACCAATTGAACATCTGGGGGAGAAAAACTTCTCCCACCATGACTCTGGAATATCCTCTTAAAATGATCCACAAAAACCTTGATAATCTCCTCCTCCCTGGTTATCTCTTGTCCATCCATTCTATCCTGACAATTTGATTTTTCCTTCTCCCATTGGCTAAGGAGTGAAAACATTTTGTATTTACATCCCCCTCCAACAGCCACTTGCATCTAGATTTTTGCCTCCATGAAATCTCTTCCTTCCTGAGGACTTCTTCTAACTCACAATTTAATGTCCGCATTTCCTCTCGTTC